TTAAAGTATAGTTCTGATCTCTGATAGGAAATGTTGATCATCTGGTAGATTCTGTGTAGTAGAAATATGACGCCTGTGGCATCCTTGGTGCTGAGCTTTGTTGTTTACTTGCAGATGTTTCAGTACTAGATAACATCATTGTTACCGGTGAGTTGTGTTGGAGCTCCCTAATTAGGATATTGTTTTCTGCTTGCTTGTCTATTGTTAATCCCTCCTTATCTGAGTATTGGCTGCTGGAGGGGATCTCTTCTGGCCTTTGTTTTCTTCTTAGCTTTTTAATTGTCTGTTTTGAATGATGTGTAAATATAATTTATTTCTATATGTATGTTGATGACTGATTTGTCTAAAGACTAAACTTCCAGGAATTCCATAGCACTTTTGAATCCAGCTTGGTCTAGGATGCTCACAGTAGCAGGGCAAGCTACTGTATATAAACAGGGAGCAAACCCCCCACACGCTAGCTCTGACGATGTTACCTAGTTGGGTAATGAAACATCTGCAAGCCAAGCAGTCAAGCCCAGAGTTCACCAAGGACTCCACAGTTCAACCCTGAGCTATGTGTATTATCTTCTACGTGAAGTCTAGCAGTAGTAGTTGAGTTTTCAGGTATACCTATTAGAAAACGTAAAAAACTAACTTGTCATGTAGTTGAAAGAAACCCAGAATTTTGCCCCTCTAGTCAAACTATATCCTCGTATTTTTACCTATTAATACCCAAACTTTTGCTAGCTCAGCAGTTGCAGCTTTTGCACAACCCCATTGTGAAATTTAATTGCGGTGCCTCATGATTAATTAAAACTTTTAGGTTGAAGAAGAAAAGAAAAAAGTCAACTTCTTCCTCCTCCTGTGGTACTTCATCAGATGAGTCTGTCTCTTCTTCCTCGTACTCTTCTTCCTCCTCCTCATCCTCCTCCTCCTCCTCCTCCTCCTCCGATAACAAAAAGTGTAAGAAAAGGAGTCGGAACCGGTCCGAATCCTCCTGCAGCTCTAAAAAACACACATCTAGGATGTTTTCCCATCTGAGTAGGGAAGAGGACAGCTATTCCCCTCCCGCCAATACCTCTGCTTCTTTCCTTAATCAAAAGCACGAAGTGGAAAAATTGCTAGAGAGGCAAGACAGGCTAGCCAATCAAAAACCCGAGGTAAGAGAGAGAGAAGGAGATTGTGGGTTTTTAAAGATGTATGCCGAAGATGACCTCTGTGGAGGTAAGTTTGAAGATGCTAGGGATTCTCACCGTCAGTCCAAGACTCGGTCAAATAGTAGCAAGACTGAAAGACAGAGTAGGTCAGACCGAGCTTCCTCCGATAGGAAGGATAGTACAGGATCTTACCAGAGACACTCTGATGACAGAAGTAAGGCCAGTGATTCAGGAAGACTGGAAAAAGAGGTGGGCAAGAGGGAGGGTTATCACAAGTTCAGCCCAAGCCAAGCCAAGTACTCCACGTCCCCCACAGGGTCGGATTACTCCTCCAAATCCGCTGAACGCTACAAACAATATACCAGCCGATGGATGAATGAACCCAGTAGGTACAATGCGGATGGTAGAGCTGAGGTGGCCAGGGGTAAGCGTGAGAAAGAATCGAAGAGCAGGGAAAGGGACTCTCCAAGAGGCAAAGGAGGAGATGAGGAAGCTGTGCTGAACGGTAAAGAACAATTAGGCAGTGGTGCTAAAAAACAGCTGCCTCAGAACTTACTCAATATATTTAATCAGATTGCTGAATTTGAAAGGGAAAAAGGAAGCAAGCAGAAAAATCAGTGAATTGAGAAAAAAATTAAGTCAGGTGCGGGAAAGTATCTGCCTTTAATCACTTGACAACTCTATACTCTTTAAGTTTTTATTTAAATTTGCTTGTTAGGTATTGATTTAAACGGGGGATGTCCAACCTTGTCAAATTTAAGACTTGTGGGCTTCAACTCCAGAATTCCTCAGCCGGCATGGCTGTCTGGTGAATTCTGGGAATTGAAGTCCACAGGTCTTATAGTGGTCAAGGTTGATAAATGTGCAAGAGTTGTATTTTTTTTTTCCAATTGAGTTTCTTATGCTGTTAGGGCATTAAGGTATGGTGGCATGCCTGGCTGAACAACTCTTAAGACTGCCACCTGTGCTATCTGGCATCAAAATTGCACTTTAAACATTTTTCCCCACAAGGTACAGATGACTGTTACTTTGTACTGTTAATAATACAACCATGTATTGATAAATTAATTGAAAATATTTTAATGTATATCATCAATGTGTATATAGTCTGTCTTACTATTAAATTTTTTATGAAAAAATTACTGCTTCCTAAATTTTAATTCAGAACTTGCAAAACAAGGGGACGTGATGTGGCAGTTATGCCCGGGGAAGCCTCTGCTAACACTAATCTAAAGACCCACGGTTGTGTGTTGAAATTTGTGTATGGGTTGCTTTTATCCTGTACATCCCATTTTTTTCTAACTGTATTCACTGGTAGATAGAGCAGAAGAAACACGGAGTCAGGTTGGCTTGGGTAAGAAGAATCTCTAAAATGCCGTGTGGAGTTACTACTCGCAACCACTAAGGAGGGCAATTGGGAGGTGTTGGATAATAAGCAATACAGGAGGATTGGCTGAGGAAGGGAATGCAATAGGGCAGGGGTGTCAAACTGCCGGCCCGCAGGCTGGATGCATCATGGCGAAACGGCGCCCAACCCATTGCTGGCAATGGCAAAAAAAAGTCACGATACATCGCGACACGTCACGTGACGTTGCGAGTTTGACACCCCTGCAGTAGGGTGGCCCAGATACATTTCAACACATACAGTAAATGCTACAGGGAACTAGTGCTCTGCTTAGCTATGAAACTCAAAGATGGCTTTAAGTGACTGTGCTCTGCAAGAGGCACAGCAACATTTAGTAAGTGTTAATAGTAGTTTCATTATGCTTTTAGAAGAAGTGGCATTTTGGAGCAAAGCCGAGGATGCTTTAAGAAATTCATGGCACAGAAAGCAGCCATTATAGAGCTTAATTCTTTCCTCACCTACCGGGTCATTGGGTAGTTGACCCAGTAACCAAGACACTTTTTAAAGTATTCCTTTGGGAAAGGTGGAGTTCATAGGAATGACTTTGAGTACGCATTCTTAGCAATTAGTAGCTCCCAAGACGGAGGAAAAAGAAGGTACAATATTGGAATTCAACAAAGGTAGCCTGAGGGGATCAAACAATTGTTATGAAGTTTTGAGGTGCCCAACTCCTAAATGATCCGAGGCTTACAGTAAAAAAAGACCAATCATATAAAGGAGCCAATGGGTCAAAGCAGCAAAATATCAGCCATAAACCTACCAAAACAAGCTACTAGGATTGGAAGGGAGGGGGGAATCTAATCACATTGTCCCCAAAGCGGGAGATCTGTCTTCAGTGATCTAAACCAGCCTCCAACCTCTAGAGAAGGAACAAATCTCTGGCCTCCAACAGCCGTAGCCTATACCAGGGGTAGGCAACCTCGGCTCTTTTATGACTCATGGACTTCAACTCCCAGAATTCCTGAGTCAGCATAGCTGACTCAGGAATTCTGGGAGTTGAAGTCCATGAGTCATAAAAGAGCCGAGGTTGCCTACCCCTGGCCTATACCTTTGCAGAAGCTGAGACTCCCCACCTCTCATGCTGTCAAGGTCATCTCTAAACTGACCACCAATCCAATATTTTTCCCATGAGGCCTCCAGGCCGCTGGCATGTCAGGGCTCCTAGAACTTCATAAGGACCAGTTAAGTATAATGCCACTAAATACTGACCTTTGTGCTTGAAATGACGGTGGCCTTTATCCCTTCCCCACCTAAAAGCAAACAATGCCAGACACGTTCGGCCCTCTTAAGCTCCACACCCAGTCAGCAACTTTGAAAAGTATTTTAAATTAGATTTTCCCTTCTGCCAATTTCCTGCAAAGTGCCCTAATGGTAACGTTTAGCATGAATTGCTACCTTAATCTGTTTTATTCTTATGATCCTGGAGAGAAAGGAAGGAAATAAATTTCTTACGAACAAAACATTCGAAACTTTTTCCCTCCATTTCCGATGGCGCTCAGCATGTTTTGTTAAACCCAGTTTGCTTTAGTGAACTGTGTGAACTTTGGAAATGGGTCCATTTTGCAACTAGGTTAACAGTTATGTGAGTGCAATAACTGGCTAATCACAGCAGTTTCTGAGAGATGACAAAGCATTTCAGCTTTGTCTTTCAATGGGAGGAAAGTTTACTTTCTGTAAAACTAGAAGAGCCACAGCTTTACTCTCAGTTTGAAGGAACTTGATGCCTCAGATCAACTGCATCTCCTTCAAATAAAACCATCTCTCCTATACATTAGTTTTAATAAAACTTGATATATCTTAGTCAAGAAGCTCAATCTCAATTCTTCATGGAAGAATGGAAGATATATAATGGGAGATTGAAAGGTGTTAACAGTTCTTCAGTGGCCAATGATCAATATTTTGGGGAAACCGTGGTATTGAGAAATATGCAGAATGTGTCCACAGGCCCTCAAGACTAAGGGACTTTTATGAGCTAGTGGCTGTATTCACAGAAAGCTTGTTTGAGCTTTTATTTATTTAGGTTTTGCATAATGTGTGAAGCCAAATACAGATTAATTCTATAATCTGGTTGAGCATGTTTTGTGAAGGTACCTAGAGTGCATTTTCTTGATTTATTCCTTCCCTTCGTAAGATAAAATGCACACACAGCCAGTGCTTATTGGCTCTTGGATAACACTGAAAGAGACCAGTGGCCCTTTAGATAGTCCAGGAGAAATCCTAGCAGCTGTTATCTTGGACATGTTTGTTGGGAACTATGGGAGTTGTAGTTCAGCAACACCTGAAATTTAGGGATGCTCTGGTTCAGATTCAAGTGGGAGGATTGAAAAAGTGTTAAATACACATTTCTAAATATGATAAATTATGGAGGAGTGGTGAGATTGTGACATTCTACAAAGATTGTTACCAGTTTTTATTGTTAAGGACTCAGGTTTTGCTATAAAAATAAAACTTGAGTTCATCCTAAAACATTTATTCCAAATGAAAATAATTCATTCACCATCACATAAATTAATTTTAGTTGTGTAGTCAAACATATGCTGTAGCTTAGCGGATAACTTTCTGAATTCTTGAAAACTTTGCAACAGAAAAAAAAACCCCCTAATATGGGCTTTTGCTACGAGAGGATGTGCTGGCGCTACCCTGGCTAGAAGGACGAGAAACTGGACCTGAAGGTTCAGGACTGGAGTCCAAAGTCAGAGATACAACTTTGACATGTGGTTGACTGGAATAGGAGCTCTTAACGGACCTAGAAAAACAAGCCATTACATTACATTACTCAAAAAACATGCAAGTGAAATACAAAATAAAATGTTCTTATCACCATAAAGATGCCTTATTAAATAATCATATTAATGGTAAGTTATTTTAAATTTCTTCAGTTGCCAATGAAACCCACTTTTGGTCCAAACTGTACAAACCTTTACAAAATGCGAGGGAATATTTCTGAACATCAGAGTTTATGAAGATAGTCGGGACAGAATCTGTCAACCAGTCTGGTAATTACTGTTTTCAACATATTTACAGTTCAATCTCTATGGTAGGTTACTGGATTGTTTTTTCCTTATTTTTAAAGATGGGATTATTTGTGTTCCTTCATTTTTAAGATACACTTAATCTGTTCTTAAACTCATCTACCATAGGTAGTTAGAAACATGATCAGGGAGTAGCTATTTCAAGCTTCAATCTTATTCCCTCATACTCTTCAGAAGACCACCAAGTCCTGGGGTTTTACCTACAGTAGGTGCCTGGATAGAATGAGGATATCAAGTTGGTTAGGGCAGGGGTCCCCAACCCCCAGTCCGTGGACCGGTACCGGGCCGCAGCATTCCAGCAACTGGTCCGCACAAATAAGCAAAGCCCCATCCATGGAATGCAGGCAACAGACAAAACCATACCCCCCCAAAACCACAGATCACTGTGGAAAAACCTTTCTCCACGGAACCGGCCCCTGGTGCCCAAAAGGTTGGGGACCTCTGGGTTAGGGGACATCCCAAGTGGGTAGCTGAGATGCTGCTTTTTGTTTTTATAGTTTTATCATTCTGGGTTTTATTGGTGTTGTGAGATGCTCAGAGTTGTATTCTAAGATGGACCGCTATACAAATCTAATAAACAAATGAACAAACAAACAAATAAGTGCTACAGTTCTACATGCCCCTTTTGTGTTCAGATTTTCACTCAACCTTTTTGGCAACCGCATTGGCTTCTTCTGCTGTCTTCCATTTTTTTTCTTCATTAGAATTGTTTACAGACAGTCCTCAACGTACAATCCTAACTGAGCCCAAAATTTCCATTGTTAAGCAAGATAGCTGTTAATTGAGTTTTGTTCCATTTTACGACCTTTTTGCCATGGTTGTTAAGCGAATCACTGCAGCTAAGTTAGTATCGTGGTTAAGTGAATCATGTGTTTGCTAAGCAAGTCTAGCTTCCCCTCATTGAGTTTGCCTGTCGGAAGACGGCTGGGAAGGTTACAAATGGTGATCACGTGACCCCAGGACAGTGCAACTGTCATAAATATGTGACAGTATATAAGTCTAAATGCTATTGCTAGTGCAATAAATACGTGCAAGTTACCAAGCAGCCAAATTTTGAACACATTACCTTGGGGTTGCTACAATGGTCATTAAGTGTAAAAACTGATCATCAGTCACTTTTTTCAGTGTCATTGTAACTTTGGTCACTAAACAAATGGCTGCAAGTCGAGGACCACCTGTATAGTGGAATGTTTAAATTATTTTAAAGGAACCCTGATGCTGTTTGAGTTTCCTTTCTACAATGTCACCCAGTATTGTTGCACTAGTGAAATCTGGATACTTGTAATGTAGAATGCAGATCCTCCGCCCTTTCTATTTCCTCCCTATTAAGAAATTGTAACAACTGCTATATTATAATTATGGAAATCATCCCAGCAGGTACTATTTATTTCTATAAATTGTATTTGCTTTGTTTGTATCAGGTATTGGCCAATTTAGCATTTGCAGTGTTAACTCTTGATTGATTTAACTCTTCCCTGTATTTCCCTATGGAACAAACAAGTCATTGGCAATTTCTTTATAACACACACACACACACACACACACACACACACGTCTCTAAGCATATTCGTAGCTACATTATTTGACTCAGAGGTTTCACTCACGCGCTGGAAGTTGAGCCGGGAATAGTTCGAACACTGAGGCGAGAAGCAGAAACTGAAGGAAGATGCAGTGAAGCCTACAAACAAATAATAAACAAAGGTGGGATGAAGTCTGCTATAAATCTACAGGAATAAAAACACTGCCTTTTATTTTATGGTGCTAATTAAAACGGCTGCATAGCTTAGCAAAGTACTGAGCTATTCAACCTTCTTCTCTACCTTCATTTTTAATGGTTCTTTGTTGTTAGTTGCGAAGTCGTGTCCGACCCATCGCGACCCCATGGACAATGTTCCTACAGGCCTTCCTGTCCTCTACCATCTTCTGGAGTCCATTTAAGCTCACGCCTACTGCTTCAGTGACTCCATCCAGCCACCTCATTCTCCGTCGTCCCCTTCTTCTATTGCCCTCAATCTTTCCCAGCATTAGGCCCTTCTCCAGTGAGTCCTTCCTTCTCATTAGGTGGCCAAAGTACTTGAGTTTCAACTTCAGGATCTGGCCTTCTAAAGAGCAGTCAGGGTTGATCTCCTCTAGGACTGACCGGTTTGATCGCCTTGCAGTCCAGGGGACTCGCAGAAGTCTTCTCCAGCACCATAGTTCAAAGGCCTCAATTCTTTGGTTTAATGATTCTACTTAGTAAATTTTGCTTCACCTTTACTATGCTAAATTAAAATGAATTATCTATGGTTTCAAGTTGATTGGTCACCAATCAGAATTAGGGGCATATCAGATATTGATGATACAGCAAACTGCAATCATTTGTAAAACAGAATCTCTAGATCTGATAAATCAGCATTCCCCAGTCTGATGTCCTATAAATATGTTGAGGTTACAAAGTCCAGATTTTCTAGCCAGCATGAGGAACCATAGTGGCGCAGTGGTTAGAATGCAGTATTGCAGGCTAACTCACTGCTCACTGCCAGAAGTTCGATTCTGACCAGCTCAAGGTTGACTCAACCTTCCCTCCTTCCGAAGTTGGTAAAATGAAGACCCGGGGGCAATACTGTTGGGGGCAATATGCTGACTCTGTGAACCGCTTAGATATGGAGCAGTATATAAGTCTAAGTGCTATTGGTATTGTGATGAACACATTAAAGACACTTATTAAAAATGATCTGGTGCGACATTCACACATTGTTACTAAGGGGCAAGCATATGCATTTTTGCATTAAATTAAGAATTATTAAAAAAGCTGAAGTATTACCTGTCCAAAGTACTTTTGGAAGATGTTATGTAATTCTGGATGTGCTTCTGAAGCATCAATCAGCATTTTATCTACGTGTTTGCTGAAGTCCTTCAGTGTACGAACTTCAATGTCTTTTTCCTCTGGTGTTTGTGACTGAGTGTCCTGTCGTGTCCGGATTTCTCGGGATAATCGAGCAACCTTTTTAGACATGCAGCAAAAGATTTAAAGCAGAATCCTAGATGCTTAAAATACCAGTTAACTTTTATATTAAAATGTTTTATCTTAGCTACAACCAATCGTGTTTACCCCAACTATGATTTTACCAAGTTCTAAATTAAATTGAATATATCATAGTAGTTTAAACTAACCTGTTTTGAGACTCTTTCTAGTCTGGGCTTCTGATCATCTATTTCTCTGGTTAATTTCATAGCATATGCATGTTTATCTTTTATTTTTTCCTGGAGGAGGGCCTCTTTTTTCACAAGAGTATCAAGATTGTTTTGCATAGCCTAGAAAAACAAGCATTTCTTTAGAAATGTCTTTGAAACTATCCAATTAGCAATCATTATAACGTAAAATAAATACGAACAAATAAACACTACGGCTTGAATATGCATTACCTCCTCTTTCTAGAAGATATAACCCAGACACAAATAATAAAAACAGCCTATTTTTATTTTTTAGCTGAAACTAAAAAAATTGCTTTCTTCATGTATCAACTTTGAAAAGTTTCTTTTTATGGACTATGTCAATACAGGTAGTCCTCGACTTACAACAGTTCATTTAGTGGCTGTTCGAAGTTGCAGCAACACTGAAAAAAGTGACTTACAACAGTTTTTCAGTTACAACCATTGCAGCATCCCCAGGGTCACATGATGAAAATTCAGACGCTGGGCAACTGGTTCATATTTATGACCATTGCTGTATCCCAGGGTCACGTGATCCCCTTTTGTGACCTTCAGACAAGCAAAGTCAGTGGAGAAGCCAGATTCACTTAACAACCACATTACTAACTTAACAACTGCAGTGATTCACTTAACAACTGTAGCAAGAAAGATCGTAAAATGAGGCAAAATCCACTTAACAAACATCTCACTTAGCAACAGAAATTTTGGGCTCGATTGTGGCTGTAAAATTGAGGACTACCTATATCTATTTAGGAGTAAAATAATGTAAAATATATAATCCACTAGAGCAGGGGTAGGCAACCTTGGCTCTTTTATGACTCGTGGACTTCAACTCCCAGAATTCCTGAGCCAGCATGGGGGAGCTATGGCCCCTTCATGACTCGTAGACTTCAACTCCCAGAATTCCTGAGCCAGCTTGGCTCAGCTTGGAAACCTCTCCCTTTCCCCTCAGCATGGCTGGCTCAGGAATTCTGGGAGTTGAAGTCCACGAGTCATAAAAGAGCCAAGGTTGCCTGCCCCTGCACTAGAGTAACAATATTTTAGGCACTTCTGGTGTGAGAAGAAGATATCATCTTTACACATTTGTGACTGCAGTTTACTCTTGTATTTCCATAACCTATTCCTGCAATTACTACTACTAAAATCCCACCTAAAATATCCAACCTGCACACTGATTTTGGACTTAAATGCACTGGGCACGACTCGGGTCCAAAGCCATCTGTAGGATTCACACTTTTCCTCAAAATGTTGACAAACCGCCCTTTTGTGACACAAGCCCAGCACTTTCATGTTTTGTGTGAAGTCATAATACACAAAGGGGTGGGAGAATGTAGGCCAGGGGTAGTCAACCTTGGCTCTTTTATGACTTGTGGACTTCAACTCCCAGAATTCCTGAGCCAGCTGTGCTGGCTCAGGAATTCTGGGAGTTGAAGTCCACGAGTCATAAAAGAGCCAAGGTTGACTACCCCTGATGTAGGCAGATATGAATAGAATGTTCTAAGGAAAAATGCATCAGGATCTGAAGAAAATTACTTCCAGATGCCTCTTTACCTGAATGTCTTCTTGAAGCTCCTTGATCTGCCTTCGCTTATATCGATGTTTTTCGTCAGTAGCTCTCCTCTCTTCTTCCAGTTTCGTTTTCTCTTTGTGCTCTTCACCTATGAAGTATTAACCGGATATTGAAGCCATTATGTGTTCCACTGAGGGAAGCTACTTAGGTCTCTTTTCTAACAGAATGATATGGATACAGCTAGCTTGCAATAACTCTTCCAATATGGAATACATTATACAAATCTGGATGATGTATAATGCAATGAATTAAATGTCAATGGGCTTTTGAAGACATGTTACCCACTACTTAATTATCATTTAGTTAGCACAAGATCGTTTAGATAAAACTTTCATTTTAAAAAAATCCTTTCCTATTTTATGCTACCTTGCATTATTTTAAGAAATCGTATATTCATTATAATGATGCATAATCATAAATAATAAGAGCCAGCAGAGGGAGCAAAGGATTAACGAAAATAGCTTTCCAGACCTACATTATTCTGAAGCAGTACGGGGGCTCTATGAATAGGGAAGATTTTTTTGTTTTTAAATAGTCTTTCAATTAAATACTTTCTGTCTCGTTCTAAGTGCAGAATTCGCTGTCCTTCGCTGTCAATAATTTATTTTTATTTTATTTTGGTAATACTTCATAATATGAAAAATTGCTACTCAGATCAAAAGAAAAAACTATTTTCCCAAAAGCCGTTTGCATTTCAGTTCCTAGCTACCAAGTATTTTTACAAGGCATTTCCTCAATAGGGATTTGGTGGGCCATAGTAAGATAAATATTTCTGAAACCTTTACAATCAGCTCCTCCTTTCCCTGCAGTTGTGATTTACCCAGCCTGTTCATTTCTGGCTGTTTTCAAGTGATTTGCATGAAGAAATAACCAAAGGCCCTGGGAGATCTGTATGTTGCTCTTCAGCATGGGCTCCCATGTTGGTAGGAGATTCAATAATAAAAGAAATGTTATTGATGCCGCAAGACAGTCCATAAGCTGTGTAGACTTTAAAGGAGAATATTTGTAGCTCAGGGTTGGAATGAGGAGTCCTTGGTGCTCTCTGAGCTTGCTTGTTTTCTTGCAGATGTTTCATTGTCCAAACTAGGTAACATCATTATGCTAGTCATTCTGTATACTTTATAAATAACAACTACCATTTTAGCTGGTCTAAGAGATGGGAGCTAGTATAGATGACCAAATACTAGTGAGATTATTCTCTTGTCAGCTGTATTTTGTAGACCTCAAAGGTATGGGTCATCTATGCCTAGCACTGCCAAATCACCAAAACAGCTTATGCTATATTTGTTGTTGTTGTTAATTGCAAAGTCGTGTCCGACCCATCGCGACCCCACGGACAACGTTCCTCCAGGCCTTCCTGTCCTCTACCATCTTCTGGAGTCGATTTAAGCTCATGCCTGCTGCTTCGGTGACTCCATCCAGCCACCTCATTCTCTGTCGTCCCCTTCTTCTATTGCCCTCCATCTTTCCCAGCATTAGGCTCTTCTCCAGTGAGTCCTTCCTTCTCATTAGGTGGCCAAAATACTTGAGTTTCAACTTCAGGATCTGGCCTTCTAAAGAGCAGTCAGGGTTGATCCCCTCTAGGACTGACCGGTTTGATCGCCTTGCAGTCCAGGGGACTCGCAGGACTCTTCTCCAGCACCATAGTTCAAAGGCCTCAATTCTTTGGCGCTCAGCCTTTCTTATGGTCCAACTTTCACAGCCATAATTGGGAAAACCATGGCCTTGACTATACACACTTTTGTTGGCAGGGTGATGTCTCTGATTTTTAGTATGCTGTCTAGATTTGCCATAGCTTTCCTCCCCAGGCGCAAGCGTCTTTTAATTTCTTGGCTGCAGTCCCCATCTGCGGTGATCTTGGAGCCCAGGAAAATAAAATCTGTCACTACCTCCATTTCTTCCTCATCTATTTGCCAGGAATTGAGAGGCCCGGATGCCATGCTATATTATATATGCTAAATTATGATGCCACCGTTTTATGCCTTCGGTAAGACCACATGCCGCATCCAATTTTGGTCACCACAATATAAAAAAGATGTTGAGATTCTGGAAAGAATGCAGTGAAGAGCAACAAAGATGATTTGGGGGGTGGATGCTGAAGGCTAAAACATATGAAGGTTTCCAGGAATTGGGTATGTCTAGTCTAGTGAAAAGAAGAACTAGGTGTGACATGATGGTCGAGTTTTAATATCTGAGGGGCTGCTACAAAGAAGAGGGGGGTATCAACCTATTTTCCAAAGCACCAGAAGGCAAGACAAGAAGCAATGGATGGAAACTGAACAAAGAGAGAAGCATCCTGAAACCCAGGAGAAATTCCCTGACAGTAAGAACAATCAACCAGTGCAACAACTTGCCTTCAGGAGTTGTGAGTATTCCAACACTGAAGGATTTTAAGGAGGGACTGGACAACTATTTGTCTAAAATGGTATAGAGCAGGGGTAGGCAACTTTGGCTCTTTTATGGCTCAAGAATTCTGGGAGTTGAAGTCCATGAGTCATAAAAGAGCCAAGGTTGCCTACCCCTGGTATAGGGTCTCCTGCATGAGCGGTGGGTTGGACTAGAGAACCTCCAAGGTCCCTTCTATCTCTGTTATTCTGTTATATATATTGAAGATTTCATCCTAATACATGCTGCAGTTAGGAGAAAAGAAAAAAAAGGTGTGGGGGGGGGAGATGGTTGCCCAATCAGGCAGTTAAATAGTATTACTCAGTCCTGAAAATTATGAATGCAACTGGAAAGTGAAACACAATTTCTACACCAAAAAATTCATCTGTAGTCACAGGTACTTTACACACACGTATGTATGTATGTATGTATGTATAGTATGTATCTTTATCCAATTTATATCCTATTCCTATTCCATCTACTCCAGAAATATCCATACAACAGCTCTAGAAGATTAAAAGCTATATTTTTAATAATGACTTGCCCAAAGCTATCCAGCAAGTCAGGATTCCCAGAATGCCCCTGGATATCTTCTCCACCAAAACTGGCATTGTATCACAATCGTACTGTCATATCTAGATCTTTTCTAATCCCCGAGGGTTTAGTACAAAGGCATCCTATTTACATTTGCATGTACCATACTCAATATAGTTCCTTCTCATCCTTCTTTGCTCTTATGCCTCACATTTCTGCCTTGCACATAAAGCCATAATGTACTCACTTTTATCTGCAACTTGCTTGAATGAGTTCCTGTAGTTGCTGTTACAGTTATTAAGTACATGCAGAGTATTTTCTAGGGCTACACATTCTTTCTCAGCTTTTTGGATCATTGCATCCAAGGAATCTCCTTCACGCTGAAGGTCTTCCTTCTCCTGGGCAGCCTTGAAATAAACATTTACGTTAAAAAGAAAAGCTGAAGTTATTCTGTGAGTAAATGCTTAAGTTCTAAGACTGTGCTTAGTAACAACTTCAGTGACAGTATCTAATCTCCTTATCTTCTGCTGGCTTCTTTTTCAAGTGCCTTCATTTTTCCAAGCTTCGGGAACTTCTCCAATGACTCTTGCCTTCACATTACGTATCCAAAATATTTAAGTTTTAGTTTTGATTGTTATTCTTTCTACTGTGTCTAGTGTCTTACTTTCATTTAATACTGAATGATCTATTCCTCATGCAGTCCAAGATATTCTCGACTATTTGCTCTAGCACAGAGGTGTCAAACTCAGTTTCATTGAGGGCCGCATCAGCATTGCGGTTGCCCTCGGGCCGGGTGGGTGTGGCCAGGGTGGGTGCGGCCTACTGGGTGGGTGTGGCCTACTGGGTGGGCATGGCCAGCTCTACATCGTTCGTGTCAAAGGTGCCTGTGGGGGCCTGGGCAGGAGTGGGACAGATCTGAGGGTCTCTGGCAGAAGGGGGTGGGACCATGGCAAGCACCAAGGCATGGTCCATTTCTTCATTCCTCACAAAGGGTGACACCTCCCCAGCATGCACGCAGGGGGCGGGGCTGACACGGCAGGGGCTGGTTCCTCGCTGTTCTAGGCGGCCTTGTGGAGCTAAGACTGAATGCGTTTCAGCATAGATGGCCACCACAAAATTGTACATTGGCTCCCGGCTGGCCTGGGCCAGGGCCAAGGCAGTGGGGGCCGTTCCCCTACTGTTTCCAGGATGGCTTCGCGGGCCACATGAAACCACTTCACAGTCTGCATCCGGCCCCCGGGCCTTGTGTTTGACATGTCTGCTCTAGCACCACAATTCAAAGATTTAATTTCTCTTTAACAGCATTATTTCTCTTTGTTCAGCTTTCTTGATGCTCAAGCTTTTACAATCATATTTTACAACTGGTATAAACTATGGACTTCCTCCTACTTACTTTTGTTGTCAGAAAAATAATTCTTCACTTTAATTTTATCTCAATATGTCAGTCTTTCTCTTAAGTAGCATCTCTTTATTTCATGATTATAGTCAGCATCCCAATAATTTTTTTTTAAAAAAACAAAGTTTTCAAGCTATCAGATTGAATCTCCGTAAGAAGTTTACCTTTATAACATAATAAGCCTGAGTTTGCTCTTCTTCTCCTTCTGGAGGCATCATGACAATGGTAATAATTTCATATCTGCTTTTCAGTTTCTCAATTTTACTCAGTCGCTCGTGAAATTCTGAACTAATTGAGGGAGAAATTAAAAAATAAGCCAACTCAGGTGTTTGACAGGAAAAAAAGTGTTTTACTTTTATTTATGAACTTGCAAACTGCATCGACTGAGACTACACATCTCAAACATGAGATGGTTTCCCATAAAAAAACTAGGTCTGTCTGTCACCCTTTCATTTTTGTAAAAGAGAGACAGAACATGGTTAGCAATGAAGCATATAACTAAATTCTTTTCAATCAAGTCTTTTTAAATCTTCATAGTGAGCCCTCTTTTCATTTGATCCTATATCCTTAAACTCTGGCTAAAACATGAAAGCCTGTAAAACGAATTAGAGAAGGGCAACTGGGAACACATTCCTTAATCATGAACGTTATTCGAGGAAATCATCTAAATATTATTTGATAGTTCAACAGGACCAACATATAACATTGAGGGACAAGACAAAAGACACACTGCCTTTTCACAAAACTGTGAGTCCCAAACTTTATAAAAATAAACTGGGAGGTAGTTTTTGCTTCCAATAAGACAGAGGATGAACTCTAAGCAGAGTGAGTGATACAGCAATAATTAAGGTGCGCTCCCAATTCTCCCTACTTTTTCAAGAAAGAAAAAAAAATGGTATTACATTGCAGATCCCTGCATCACGGGGAGTAACTATCTGGTGAATCTTACCCAAATATTTAAAGATTGGCATTTCAGTCCTACAGCTGCAAAAGCTGCCCCCTGCTGATTATATCTTAATATTGCCACTGCTAGAAGAGAATGAGCAACAGCAGGAAACAACCTCAAATCAAATTATATGCAAGTGCCAATTAGTAATGTAATTATCAACGGAAAAACACAGAGTCTGCCTCTTTGGCGAAAGAGTAAGCTCCAGTCATACTAAATCACTCTAATTTCCTATTGCGTGGGTTGTGGATGGAAAAGGAGGGTGGGGAAACAACTGCCAGATCAGCGGGCTGAGTGTTCATTTCCCAGTTGGGTTTAACCACCCGCTGCACACAGAGCCTTGTTTCTTGTTATTTAAAGTTGGAAAAAACAGAGCTTTCTAGTCCCTAACTTGTGACTGGTAATTTACTGTCAAGTGCTTTAGATTCTTTTCTGTTATACATTTCAGTTCCCGATGTGAGAATTCTGCAGGAGAGAATTTTGAGAGTAAGCATTTGCTTCTGCCATACAGGCAGTCCTCGACTTACAACAGTTCGTTTGGTGTCCATTCGAAGTTACAACGGCATTGAAAAATGTGACTTATGACCATTTTTCACACTTAGGACCGTTGCCGCATCCCCATAGTCACCACGATTTACACTCAGACGTTTGGCAACTGGTTCACATTTACGACGGTTGCAGTGTCCTGGGGTCACGTGATCACCCTTTGCAGCCTTTTGACAAGGAAAGTCAGTGGGGGAAGCCAGATTCGCTTAACAACCCTGCTGCTAACCTAATAACTGGAGTGATTCACTTACCAACTGTGGCAAGAAAAATCGTAAAATGGGACAAAGCTCACCTAACAAATTTCTCACTTGACAACATAAATTCGGGGCTCAGCTGTGATCGTTAAGTCGAGGACTACCTGTACTTCTGCATGTTAATGTCACATAAAGGAAATCTGAGGGACCGCAAGAATGTTTTACGAAAAGATGAATAAATGCAATTTCAAAAGAAGTTTGCAGTTGAAGAGCAAGCAAATCCCAGGTTAAGATCACTCTCAACGACGAGTTGGCTGGCAGACCTTTGACCAAATAGTAGCCAAGTTCAACGTTTCACAGTAAGCTAGAAAGTGTTCCATTTAGCTTTGTCTTTTACCCAACCCCTACGCTTTGGATGTAGCAAGTTATGTTAATCAAACCTCTATGGCTTGTTCACTAAATTGCAGCAAGAAACTACGGCTTAGGTCAGTGGTGGCGAACCTATGGCACACGTGCCAGAGGCAGCACTCAGAGCCCTCTCTGTTGGCACGCGTGCCACCACCGCCAGCAGCAGGTCCACCAGACCACCCCTGCTGCCCGGAGCAGGAGCCCCGCCCAGCACAAAGGAGGCGAAGCGGCCGACTAGCAAGCTCAAGTAGAGGTGATAGAGCAGAGGTCACCAACCATTGTCGATTGATAGACTGGAAGAAAAGGGAGAGGGAAGCATTTTACATGTGTGCATGCGCGCACAGGGACGCGAGCACGCACGCGCTGCAAATGGGGCGGGGCTAGTGCCTGCGTGATACTCACTAGCCCTGTCCCGTTCTTGCGTGGTGCAGCACCTTGTATCTGCATCCCGCGGCACGGCAGCGGCCAGTTTTGCGCCTTGCAGCATGATGGCCCATTTTTGCGCTCCCGGTTTTTGTGTGCCAGAGGCAGCACTCAGAGGCACCTCCCTGCCCCCCCCCGAGGGCACCACAATGCTGATGCAGCCCTGGAACTTTGTGATAAATAAGTGGGTTTTGAGTTGCGGTTTGGGCACTCGGTCTCTAAAAGGTTTGCCATCACTGGCTTAGGTGATACGGCAAATTAAATGAGAGGCTTTACAGCTTCTTCAAGGAAAGCCTAAGAAAACAAAGAGTGCTGTTGGTTGTCCTGAACTATGAATACTTGTATTCACTAAACTGTTGATGTGGTGGAAAATAGGCCGAGCATTTTCTAACCACTAAGAAATGGACAAGTTGTTCCTCCGTGCCGTTTAAGAGGCTGTTGAAATGTTAGTTATTAGGAGATGCTCAAAAACAGAATACATGACCTGGGCAATTCTTACAGAGTTCTCTGAATAGTAGATACTCTCTTGAAAGCAGATATACTGCTCTGAGCTTCGTGGAGTGATTACCTTAGAGTCTGACGCTCTTGCTCAATGAGTCGTGTCTGAGTCTCAATCATTTCCTTATGAACTTTGATATCGGCCGTTCTCTCCTCCATGGCTGTTTTTAACTGCTGTTTCCGTTTCTCGAGGCAGAGAACTTTCTCTGCCTTATTGTACAGCAAATCTCTTACACGTTTCAGTTCCAGTTTTAAGAGGTTGTCTTCAATCATCAGATCCTTCCATTGATAGGACAGAAAGAATATGTGCATTATGAGGTCAGATGCAAGTCGCAGCCTTTGTGTGATGACATCATAACCCAGATGTTTCCGTTCACTCTGCCCGACTCCCCTTAAGATGCCCAGGCTTATAAAAATATAACATTTTAAAACCATTGGAGAAGATAAATGCCCACAAGTGTGACATAAAAATATACAAATTAGTCGGACAGCACAAGCCAAAACATTCATTTCAGACAGCAAAGTTGTTGTATATTAAGCACTTTTTCAAAACACATACTTAGCATTTGAAAAATAATCACACCTGCTTTTCTGCTCTGGCTTTTTTTAATAACTTGTCTGATTTATCTGTGAAAAGGTTTAGCTCATCCAGTCTAGTCTTCAAACCAACCATTTCTTCTCCGGTTTTATCTATGGCCAACTTGCTAAAATGGATTTCACTCTGAAAAGAAACAAATACAAAATCTCCTTTTAGTTTAAACCAGAAATGCATTAAACAAAAGTCGTCCATGTTAGGAGGCATGGTTTCCAATATCTCATCTTACTGTTTTTGGTGTTGGGTTATATTAAGACAACCTGTGACCCATTGCGTCATCATTTTAGAGATAATTTTTTTAACTAATATTGAAGTATTGGAAACCTTCCTTTCTTCCTTCCCTCCCATCTTCCTCTCTTCTCTTTCCTTCCTCCTATTCCTTTTCTCCCTCCCTTCCTTCTCTCCTTTTCTCATTCTTCCCTTCCTTCCTTCAGCCCTGTTCCTTTCTACCTTCCCTCTCTCCTCCTTCTTCTGTTCCTTCCTTGTTCCCTTCTCTCCCTCCCTCCTTTTCCTTCGTTCCTTCCTTCCTGTTCCTTCCTCTCTGCCCTTTCCTTTCCTCCTTTCCTTTCCTTTCCTTTCCATTCCATTCCATTTTCCTTTCCATTTGTGGCATTTTCAGGGAAAACAGGGTTAATGTGGATGATGAACAATTCTTTAAATATTACTATAATGCCACAAAGCATCTTCTCATGGGGAAAAAAAATCACATTACCTGAAGTTTCTTTTCCTGGGATTGTAAAGTATGGAATGCCTGTTTCTTTTCATCCATTATCTTTATTAGTTCAGCCAATTTGGTTTCTAAAATTTGCTTCTCGTCTGTGTTAAGTTCCCCCTTCAAACGTGACAGCCGTCTCTCCACTTGCTGTATGTAAAAATCCTATTCAAATATTTCAAGCAAGAAAAAAAATTAGCAGAAAGGGTAGAAAAATCCCTGATGATTAACTTGCTAAAAATATAATGAAGCACTCCTAAATAGGGAGGCTTCTAGCTGCGTAAGTAATCCTCAGGTTATGACGGCAGTTGAGACTGGAATTGCCGTTGCTAAGCGATGACATCACATTACTATGTCAATTGTAAGCACAGCAATTCTGTCAGCCTCAGTTGCCGTCATTAAACAAGGAATTATGAAGGTCATTAAATGAGGATCTCATGTGACTACAACTTCCAACTTCCTGCAGGCCGGTCAGAAGTTGCAGTCACATGAAGTCTCGTTTTATGACCTGCACAATCCTCACTTAACCATGGCAACTGGGACTGCTAGAATTGCCATTCTAAGCAACGTGGTCACATGACAGGCAGGGAATTTTGGAAATTGCCATCATGTGACCGCAGACATGTTGAAGCAGCAAAAAGTCCTAGGACTGTCATAAGTCCCGCTTATTTAGTGCTGTAACAAGTTTGAACAGTTGCTAAATGAGTAGTCATAATCCGAGGACCACCAGTGATTTCAAAGTGGTGCACATGATTTATACATAAAATAATAGCAAGATTTGGATACATTCCTTCAGAAATAACTTGAAGCAGTCAAGGTAAATTTTTGAAAGAACGGAAGAGATGAATATATCCAATTCTTATTATTTGTTAAGAGAATTATATGTGTAACTTCTCTGCAAGAGAAGTGATTACAAAAACCTGGTTTGTCGGTTGCACAACCCAATTTATAACATTGATTTGAAATTAAATGGAATTCCATTTATTCTATTCATTCATTTTAGAAAATTTATTTACCACTCATCTCGCATCCAACAACACTGGATGGCTTATATCAGTGGTTCTCAACCTTTTTAATGCCGCGACCCCCAACCGGTTGTAAGTTGAGGACTAAACCGGTCGTAAGTCGAGGATTAAACCGGTTGTAAGTCGAGGACTACCCAACCGGTCGTAAGTCGAGGACTTTCCATGCCCGGGAGCACCGCGCATGCGTGGTTCCGCCCCCTGCGCCGGCCGAGGCGTAGCTGGCAAGCGGCAGAGACAGAGCAGGCCGACCACCAGCTGGCCCAGCCCAAGGGAAGTAAGGCACCCGCCGGAAAAAGGGGAAAAATGGCGGACAAAAAAAATGGCGGACAGCCTTGCTTGGTGACCCCTGTGAAATGGTCGATCAACCCCAAATGGGGTCGCAACCCATAGGTTGAGAACCGCTGGCTTACATCATAAAACATTAAAGAAGAAAAGACATTAAAATCAACCATCATGGCACACAGCAGATTTTAAAGCTCTGTTAGGGTTTTTTTTTCACTCATGCATATTTTTGTGTGACTTACTGCCATCTTGCTATAAGATTAAACGAACTTCATATATCTACAGATATGCATACAAACAAACCTTACCTGATTATACATGAGTTCTTGCTGATTAAGTGCTTGTATATCCAGCCGCCGTAATCGGTTCTGAAGATTTTTTTTCTGACCACGATGTCCTTCGATTAAAGATGTGATACCCTTTTCATTTTCTGTAAGCGTTTTCAACTCCTTTGTTTTCTTGAAATGGGCATCTCTCAGTTGTAATGCTTGTGCCTCTTTCTCCTGATATTATTATAATTATAATAGGTTAATGTTTATAAATATTTTGTACATTTTTTCCTAAATCTGAAGTGGTAAAAATTAAGTCAGATGTCAATCGAACCAAGTTTTGCTTAAGGCTATTTCAGCATCTTAGTCAAATTCTATGTTTTTTTAGAGTATGGAGCTGTTCAGCTCTATTATCCCTGATCCTCTTTCACTGATATTTTCTTTTCTCTTTTATTTCAGTTGAGCTATATCCCTTTTAGCCTAACTCTTCCTACCTTCTGGCTGCCTTATTTTCTTGATGGGCAACTCTGCAGGCCAAACATCAAGTCCACCTAATTTGCAAACCACGTATGTCTTAAGAAAAGAAACAAATTTATCCGTATCTTTATAATCTTCAATGAAAAGCTATATTATTATTATTATTTATTATTTATTGAATTTATATACCGCCCTATCTCCCTTATGGGACTCAGGGCGGTGAACAGGCGATAATAAAAACCACGATAAATATACACAAATTTCTGTCTAAAATCAAATTAAATAACAGGCCTGCTCTAAAAATTCCAGCTAAAATATTCCAGCTAAAACACTGTAGAAAAGAATGATTCATCCTTGTTAAACTGGAATTATTACACTGCATTATCTTGGGTTATCAATCACCCATACCCAGAGATTTGAGTACATTATTTGAAATTATATATATATTCTACAGTATGCTGAATTAACTTGTACCATATAAATGATTTTAGGAATTTCATTTTTAAAAATTAAGGATCTATACAGGTAGTCCTTGACTTACGACCACAACTGAGCTCAGTGAGACTTTTGTTAAGTGAATTTTGCCCGATTTTACGACTTTTCTTGCGACATTTGTTAAGTGAATCACTTTAGTTATTAATTTAGTAACAGGGTTGTTAAGTGGCTTCTCCATTGACTTTGCTTGTCAGAAGGTCACAAAAAGTGATCACATGATCCCGGGATACTGTAATTGTTATAAATATGAGCCAGTTGCCCACTGTCTGAATTTTGATCACATGATCATGGGAATGCTACAATGGTCATAAGTGTGGAAAACAGTCATAAGTTGTAATTTCAAATATTCACTAAACGAACTGTTGTAAGTCGAAGACTACCTGTAGATAGCTAATGCACATTAAATAAATTTTACATGTCTGCAGGTCAGGGTTTAAAGTACATTCGATTACAATGACATTTAAGATTTAATAACATAAATAGTTTTGAGCATCTTGCTAATCCATAATGCAATTTATTCTTTTTACTGTAGAGTAATGTGTGAATCCATTCACTACGGTTTATAAGGCAAGGATTTTGTCTTGGTATATTTTGTTAATCGGGCCTTTATGATCTTTTCAACAAACCATGACTGAAACAAATTATGATCTAACATTATGTGTGAACCAAGTACATAATTCTCAAACAAAAAAACACAATTAGAGTACAGGTCTTGTCATGTTATTACAATGTTATGATTTGGCACATCTGAAAAAGTAAAACAATAATCATTGAGAATTTTGTTGTACAACCAATTCCTATAAAAATATTGCTAGAACTTCCTACATGTCACGTGATAGTAATAACAGACAGCAAAACCTATTTGCTTCATGTATCTACATAGCCTGCGATATCTGGAGCTTCTGGTTTCCCCATCTTGGCCAAATCAACAATTGTTTAAATAGTATTTTGCAGACTTTAAAAAAAATAACAAACAGATTGCAAGACTCTTTGAAATAGTGTTTTTACCTTCAAATTTTTTTCTTTGTCCTTTAATAGTTCCTCCATTTTGCATGCTTTTTCTTCTTCACTTAATGCTTGGTATGTCACAAATTTCAATTTATTTGTAAGAGTTTCATTCTGGTCCTTAATCAAGTTTAGCCTAAGGCAGAATTTATAAAATGAAAAAGTGTATTACAGAAATTAAAATTATTCATATAACTGTTAAAAATCAGTTTTGCTTATTAGTTGCAAGATAAATATTGGACATTTTAAAAAATAATTTTTAATGACAAAGCCATATTAAAAACCATTATATATTAAAATGCACTGAAAAAGCTTTTTTGAAAAGAGATCTGATGGAAATCTGCTTATGTCTGCAAGCCATATTAATACTGACTCTGGGAAGAATTAGATAATATTATTAATTTCAATTTATTACCATCTCTTCATTCCCAGGATATTCAAGATAGCTAATAAAAAAAAAAAACCCAGTAATCTGAAAAGAGCTAGCATCAAGTTAAAATCAGCAGTCACAGTTACATCAATCCAACTAAAAGAAATGTCTCTCTGTGAGAGTGAGATTTGATTATGTTGTGTGATTGATCCATATTACACTGAATCTTGAATCAGACATTTTGCCCCTGCACAAAGGGCTACTAATATTATAATTTTATTAACAAATGTAATAAATCTGGCTCTCCTTCTTAATGGAAAATGGAAGGAAAACATGGAGATCTACGTCAGAAGATGTTGTTTAATGTTAGTCAAATTCTGTAAATGAGATAGGGTAAATGTCCCATCAAAACTCATCTGAAGCTATCCTAATTAGCTAGGTATCTATCTCTTAGATTTCTATTTAGTTCAAATACAAGTTAGATTTGTACACTACCTTTAACTAAAAAAGGAGTCCTTGCAGATTTTACTCCACTAATCATTGCCAACTATAAGTGTGTGTGTGTGTGTGTGTGTGTGTGTGTGTGCTCATCTCTGTTTCAAAGCTATTGAGCTAGCGCTGCCCGAAGATGTTTCACAATATGAAGTCACAGAGTGCCGTTAACTTCCTACCAAAATGGTACCTATTTATCTATTCACATTTGCATGCTCTTGAACTACTAGGTGGGCGGGAGCTAGGGGGAAAACAGCTCACCCCACTGTGTGGTGCTCAGGATTCAAACCTGGGCTGCCAGATTTCCAGCCGTTATCTTAACTGCTGATCTACAAGCTGCCCAACATTTAACTAAGCCAGTTAAAAACGAAATCGTGCATGCATACAGTATAGGAGGCTAAACGTAGTTAGATTTAGCTTGTTGTGCTGTGCAAATTCAGCTTGTTAAATATTTCCTGGTTAAATATACTATTTATCGACAAAATGGACTAACTTAATAGTCAAATTAAGTGTGTTATGTGACTACAGCTATTAGGTTATCTCATAAATTTAAGAAGTTTAAAGCACATAGCCAGATAGTTAGCTTTGTAAATAAGGAAGATTTTAGTAGATGACAATCAGCCTTCCTAGTGAAATTATAGTGCAGTATTGTTCAAGGTCTATTTCAGGTTTTTTTTTAAAGTATTTAATTAATACATACCTTAAAGTTTTGTCCTGGATTTCTTTCTTAAGATTGGTTACAGTGGTTCTCATTGATTCTAGTTCAGAAGCTGTCCCATCCACAGTAGCTTTCAGTGTATCCAACTAAACAATTAAAGAAGTGTAGTTATAAGGAACATTTTTGTTCATAAAGAACAATGCTCTTTGCCCTTTTGGGAAATACAGAGATTTTATTTTTTAAAATATTTTAACAATTTTGCAGTTTAATAATTTGATGCTGGAAAAAATAATATTTTGGGAACATAAACATTTTCTTTAATTTTACAACGCATCTACGTCTTCAGCACCATTGTCATCCAAAGCTTTTGTGTGAATGCGAAATGAGCAAACAATCCTTACACTAATTTGATTCAAATGCTATTCTTATTCCTATTCTAAAAAATTCCCTTTCTCACTCTGTAATCAGAATCAGTACTAACAAAATGTTTACACGTAGATTCTAACCTAAAATATAATAAAGACCATTGTTCGTATATCAATTTATGCTTAAATTACCTCATTTTGGAGTGCATCTCTGTTATTTTCCTCTGTCTGGTATTCTAATCTCAGTTTGGCAGCTTGTCGATCAGCAATGGAAATTCTCTTCTCATACTCTACGTTGTTCCCACTCTCATTCGCCAAAAATTGGACTTTGTCTTTAAGCACACTTTCCTTTCCACGGATTGCCCTTCTTGCTTGTGCTAAAAGCTATCCACAGAACATGAACAAATGAACGAACGAACGAACGAATATGCAATAAACCAAATAACCACATTCTAAGTAAAGTTAGGAAAGCAGCACTGTCTTTTTTCTGGTGATCTCACAAAATGGGCAATACAGAATAAATTGCATAACAAAAACATAGCCGTTGTTAAAAATTATATACATATGCATATTCAGCAATAAAAACAAAAATACGACTCTTGGGAATATTCATTATAAAACAAAGCGACCACCAAGAGAAATCTATAAAACATATAGAGTTTAATCTACCAAGCTTTCGTCAAGTGCACTTGACATCATCAGGGTTAAAAAGGCAAATGCTGGGAAGGTTTATATACAGTCGTTCAACGCCTGCATATACATATAGGAAGGCTCATTAGGTCAGATGATATTCCATAATTCAGAAACAAAATCCAAGAAAATATTTATACCAAGGCACAGCTATCTATTTCTTGGTCTCTTTTTTGCATTTGCTCTATGGTGTTTTCCCACTGTCTGATAAGGTCTTGTCTTTCTTGGTGAACTCTGCGGAAGTCTTCGGCTGTTTTGTCCAACTCGATCTGAAAGAGAATGGATATCAGTTAGCAAAATATTTTACTTACAAGCAACCCTTAAAAATGTTACAGCAACATTAATTTTCTAAATGCGTTTGTGAACACACCTGAGAAGCTAAGGTTTCTGTAAGTTCATTGTCAAGGATTCTGTGTTTATTATTACACTGAGCTGTCAGCATCTCGATTTGTAGACTCAATTTCTGAAAATAAAGAATAATCAAGTTTATTCTTTTAAACAGTAATCTCAAAAGAAACAGTGGCACCGACTGTTTATGAAATAGCAAATAAAATATTTTTTAAAAAACCCACCACAAAATAGCACAGATAACTAGCCCAGAGGGGGAACAAAGTAAAAGTAAAAAAGAGGGCTTCAATCATGCTTCCCTTAAAAAAAAAAAAAAACTCCTTCAGGGTCCTTCCAAACACCAGTAGGGTGAGAGTTGTTCAAATCTCAGGGGTAACCTCTTAGGGGAAGGTATTGCTATAGAGAAGGGATGCCTATGGGGTCTTGGTAGATGACATTGTTTAATTGAAGGAACCTGGAACATGCCAAACATGCCAGACTGAATCAGGCAGCAGATACTATGGGAAACAGGGAGTTCCTCAAGTAACCAGGCCCTATGCCCGTGGTGACGAACCTATGGCACGCAGAGCCCTCTCTGTGGGCACGCGTGCCATCGCCCCAGTCCTAGGCCTTCAGCTGGGTTTTATAAAACCTTTTCGCTTTAGGCCTCCGCCACCGTGTGTAAAAAAAAAAAAAAGGTTCAATCAATCAATTTCAACTTCTCACCGGAAAAAAAACCATCTCGCAAAGTTGGAATTGATTGAACTTTTTAGTTCTATCCAGTGTCATTACCACCGCAGCCACGCCCACCCAATGGGCCACGCCCACCCAATGGGCCACGCCCACCCAGCACCCGACGATACATAAGTGTGTTTGGGGTTGCAGTTTGGGCACTCGGTCTCTAAAAGGTTCGCCATCACTGCCCTATGCCATGGTGACTATTTTAGTTCCTTATTTGAACCTTATTATATATTGTTTTAAATAGAGAGCTATTGGGGAGATGAACTATTCCAATCAATTTACTCAATACTTAATAACAGCATTTTATATT